TATTGTTCATTTTCTCACCAATTGTCAATTTCCGTAAGATGAATTGATTACACTGGCTCAATTACTATTTTATACTGCCTTGATACGGTACAGAAAGGCGAAATCATAAGTTGATCACTAGTTCTCTAGAATGTAAAGGCTTTTTACTAATAAAATTGTTAGCTCCTACTTTGAAAGTGACCAACATATTACTCATTTTTGCATCCCCTGTAGATTTTATAACCTTATTATTCTTAAGACCAAGTGTTTTAATTGACTGTTGCTTATCATTTAAATTTTTCTTGAAAGAAAGGACCATTGCTTTGAACTCTTCAGGAAAAATATTGTTTTTCATCAACTATTTCCAAAAACGTTTGGTTCTGGTTGTTGATCAATTTGTTATACGCATTACGGAAAAGTAATTTAGTTTTGAAACGAAATTCACAAGAAACTATTCGACAGTTTCAAGTTCACCTCCAAGATAAAGGACCGAGTGGTAACTTAAGGTTCATCCCTGGCATGCCCTAAATGTTAATTCTCAATACTGGTTACCTCATATTCTTTTTAATGTTGATTCTTAGATTGATAACTGTTAAATCAGGTTAAAGGGAGTAGAGAAATGTACTTATCTTAAATAAGGTTTGTCCAATTGTCAATGTGCACCAGAGTCCAAGAGTACACTGCAATCCAAGATGGCTGTACTTTCTTTCAATAGTGATCTGCTTCCAACCTGGAGAAGGAAAGGAACAACTGTAATAATTAACAATCTTTTAATTCAGTCATTCGACTGATACATTTGTAGTCGTGTTAGATACATTTGATAATTTCATAAATTTTCAGATAACAGTAGTGATTTGGTGTGGTTTCACATTTGCTTAAGAGATCTTGAAGAAAAGCGAATATTCCTTATGGTATCTACCCTCCAAATTATGCCTAAATTATCGACAGAGTAATCGCTCAAGGTTTGGTTTTATGCACTGAAATGAAAACTACTCGATGACTTTATTCTCACAATGTTCTTATTCTTTACAAAAACTGGCTACCAATAGCTTATTTGAACGTTGTCGTCATTTGACTACAACCACCAGAATTCCTTTCGTTTTTTCTTTATTATTTAAATTTTGAATTCCCAGTGGGGTTTAAATAACAATTGCCCTAATTAAAATAAGAAAATGAAAAAGAGAAGGATTCTGGTAGTTGTAGTCAGATGACGCCGTCATGCAAATCTCCTATTGCAATCCAGTGTTGCAACATGTTCTCTTCGGTTTATAATGAAAACCAAACAGTTGTAACTGATTATTTTACAAGTTGTTGCTTTCAAATTGAATTTTTCTCGAAAATTATGGAGAGACCGGAACGTTCGTTTTAAGATTCAAAAGCCCTTGTTTACTTGAAAAAAGAGAAGGAAAGAAAAATTTAATAGAATTTTCCCTTAGTTTTTCTAGCAGATTTAGTTTTAGTTTTATATTGAGACTCATCCACAGTGATACCATGTATAAACAGAACTCTTTCGTGAAGCCACAACCTTTTGAACTGAGACACTTCACAAGAGAAGGAACTAAGTTCTGTTGATTCTGAGAATTTTGTTCTTCATGAAGACAACACCAGTACCTTCAGCTACTGATAATTCTTATTTATTAGCGTTTAATTCTTAGTCAGCAAGACCCCGTTGATAACAATACTTTGTACAGAAGGGTTATCTTGGGGAAATATTCGATTATCATTATTATTAATATTAGTATTATTATATTATTAACGAAATTGACAAGATACAATATTAAACAGTTTTAGGT